GTGGCAATATGTCTACGCTGGTTCAATCCGCTCGGCCAATTAATGCACAAGAATTCGCCAATCTACCATGAGATTGGTATAACCCCCTTGTCCTTAAGAAATACCTGATACAGAGGAATAAAAAAGAATTTAATTTATGCTAGATCCCTTATTTCCCTGGGATTGTAGTTCAATTGGTTAAGCACCGCCCTGTCAAGGCGGAAGCTGCGGGTTCGAGCCCGTCAGTCCCGAAGGATCCAATAAATACATCAATTCATCTCTCCCTTTTCTGTGAAAGGGAGGACAGGGAGCAGAATTTCATTCCCAAGAGGAGATCCTTTTTTTTTCTTCCTATTTTTTCTATTTTTTTAGGGGTCCCATCGAAGAAAGAACAAAGCCTAAAAAAATAGTGAATTTGATGGAATATTAGATCTTTTATACCGGGACTCATCTTTATCACATTTCTTTGTCTTCCAAAAAATTAGATTATTAAAAAAAAAAAAAAAAAACAGAGCTGAACTTAACTCCTTTCTTTTTCCATTTCGCTTCTATTGTTTGTTTGGGTTTGTGACTAATGGAAATGAAAGGTGGTCACATGATACTTCATCAGATGATTGTACAAGGAAAACCTAAGGTAGGTTATAGAAAAGAAAGAAGAAAAAATAATAATAAATCAAGGAATTTTTGATTGGTTCAGGAATCCCATTTTGGATTCGGTATGGATAAAAGATCTTCCTATGTTATACTATTCAATTCTCGATGACGAATTCATTTGATAGCGCAGATATTGTTATTCATGATATTGATCCGATTCAAGATCATCGAGAAGTAATTCATTCATTGAATTTTACAGGCGAAAGATTTATTATCTCTATGGGATTAAATCCCGAGTTATTGTGAAGTAAAAAAAAAAGATGAGATTATGGAAGTAAATATTCTTGCATTTATTGCTACTGCACTGTTCATTCTAGTTCCTACTGCTTTTCTACTTATCATTTACGTAAAAACAGTTAGTCAAAATGATTAATTAATTTGAATGAAACTTGATTTCTGAGTTCTTATCAATGATTGAAGAAATAAAACGAAAGGATTCCAATTTCGCGTCTTAATGAAATGAGCGGACTATAATCGGCTAGTATGGTAAGAAAGAAATAGATGAAATCTTTCTTTCTACCATACTATCTATTAGTGTTATTGTAGTGTATAAAGTTGTAAAGTTGTACTTTACAATAAAGAGAAAGGCTTAATATAGATAAATCTCCAATATTATCTTCATATATGTAGATATAAATTTCATATATGGAATGGACATAGCATCAAATTCGATTTCTTTGATACATCTATTTGTTCCGATCACTCTGAAATAATCGTCTTACTCTTAGAGTTCGAATTCCTAGATTTTTTATTATTTTCATCCAATATGAATTTCGGGATCTATAAAAGAATCAAGAAAGAGCATTATGGGCATATCTTAAGAAAAACACGTAGTAATCTGTTTTTTTAGCATTTCGAAGAAATAATTGATTGAGCCATTGACAGGAGTTCTATGGGCACTTCTTCAGATTTCGAAAAGAAATAAAATAAATAGTAAACCTCGCCGATTTTAACGCTTGAACCATGATATGAAATGGGTTGATAAAGTATCAAAAATTTCAAAAATCTAATAAAACAAGCGGTAAGTGCGCAATAAATATGTGACTCGCCCAAGTCAAGATCTTATTATGCATAGTATCTTGTTAGCCAACCACTATGCTATGTCTATATTGTTTTTCTTTTCTCATAAAAGTGGGTATACATTTACCAAACGACTTCCTCTTTGAACAGTAAAGAGGGAAAGAAAATAAAAAAATAAAAGGGGTCGGGTCTTCCTCAGTATCCATCTATAATTCTAATTCTGGTAAAAGCGCGTTAGAAAATTTCAGAAGAATTAGGTTGGAATGAATTTCCTATCATCTGTATCCCTTTCCTTTCGAAATACAAACATGGAATCATTGAAATATCTCTTTGATTGAAAGAGTATTAGTCATATCATACATTACTCTACTAGAATCCAATGGAATTTGGAAATGAAGATATTTTTATTTGAAAAGTTCAAAACGCGTTGCAAAACGATCTATAAAATAATTGATACAGTTTGATTCCTCAACTTTATTAGTAGTAACTCTAGAGTCCACTTCTTCCCCATACTACAAGTGAAAGGGAAAATGTAAAGACTACCATTAAAGCAGCCCAAGCGAGACTTACTATATCCATGTGAATTATGTCCCCTATCTCTATGACGGAATTGTTCCATTATTGCTCACTAATAATAGTGGAATCAATGGTGCAGAGTCAAAAAGGGATTTTGACCGAACACTATTGATGAACCAATCCAATCAATCTACTTCTAAACTTATAAAAAATTCTTATATGATTTCTAATCGGGAAAGATTAAATATTAAATACAAGTAAACTACGCAATGACATCTCAAGGGAATGTTACTAATGGAACATGTAGGAATAAGAAGGCTTATTCTTTTTT